AATACTGCTGCAGCAGGTAACATAATTCCTTTCAAGTAGAGAAAAAGTAAATAATGAAACAATCGTGCACTTTCAGTTTCTTCTAAAGAATGAAACAAAACTGTTTATAACGGCAATGATACCGACAATAAGTTTAACTGATTTTATGTATACTTTTCTAAATATCTTTGAAGCTAGTTTTCCAATTACGTATAGTGGGAAAAATAAAGAATGACTGGATTACACAAGGAATAAAAATATCTTGCAAATATGCAGATATGACCCACAAATAAGAGCATTTTATATTAAGTATTGTAAAATTCAGAATAATATTATAAAAGTGACAGAAAAGCAGCATTCAAAATAATACAATACAACTGAAACAACATGCAACATAATGAAAGGGGTGACAGGAAACATAAATTTAACTGGAGATGTTATCTATTTTTAAAAACAACGATACAGTAAAAATGATTCTTTTAAGAATTACCAAAATCTTAAATTTACGTAAAGTGGGGAGAGAAGATGTCATTTTCCCGTAACATTTCCTGGTACTGAAATAATTTCAACCAATTAAAACGAGATAAAAGTACAGTACATTTCCTCAGAATTTTTTCTCAGACTGAGGAACAGTAAAACCTGGAGTTCCTCAATTCAAATCTACCGCCTTTTTTTTCATAATATACATAAATGACCTTCCACCAATAATAAATATCAAACCATAATATTTGCTGATGACACAAGAGTCATACTTTCTGGTCAACATTTTTATAATATTTGAGCAACATCATGTAAATGACTTACTGGTACAAGCTATTCCTAAATATGTTTAAAACAAATGTAATAGAATGTATAATAACTCATTCTAATATGTTTTATGCATTTGGGTACTTGTGGGTTATCGGTACACATCGCTTTAAAAATAGGTTAGGTTAGGTTAGTTGTCATTTATTGAAATAAAATATAATAACTTTCAAGTATATGTCATTTATTCACACACATTGACCTAACCTAACCTAACTTAACCTAACATATTTTTAAAGCGATGTGTCCCGATAACCCACAAGTACCTGCATTTGTTATAATGGAAAGCATATACAATTGTCAGTAAATACAAAGTCCCTGAGTTTGCAAATTGGTAAGCACCAAAATTTTAAATCATACTCATTGATTCTTATGTTAAGTGAAACACGTTACGTAGTTAGTTCTTTGTCGCGTGTCAGTAACATTGATGCTCAAATAAGTTGATTTTGCCTATTTTGACTTTGTAATGAAGTATGGAATAATCTTTTGGGGTAATTCACCAAACAGTAGAAATAAAAGAAAACTTTTAGATTAATGGCTGGTGTCACATATAGAAATTCAAGCACAACTCTATTCAAAAGATTAATAAGAGCTCTCTTCCATGTGAATATACATTTTCATTGACGAACTTCATTTTACATAACCAGCATTTTCAAACTAATTCTACTGCACACAATGTCAATACAAGGAAATCAGAATCAGCTTCCAGACCGTTTGCCAATCTCTCATATTTTCAGAATAATATATATTATACAGGCATAAAATTCTTCAAAAGTTTACCAGCAAGTCTCATGACTTCTAAATAAAGAGGCAAAATCTAAAGTAGCATTGAAAAGATAATTATATACTCCTTTTATTCTACTGAAGAGTTTCTAGTGTTCAGAAATACATCACAATTTTAATTAAAGTTTTCTTGACTTCATGAAATATAAATGGGTAGTATAATTTATCTATTGTGGATGTATTTGTAACATATCAGTAATTATGCAAACACTTTATTTATAATAAATGAAAAATTATCATAATATGAATTGTACATATAATATGTAATATATATATTTCACTCTAGCCCTCATTTCACTGTGACCCATGTTACACTACTGCATGCAAGAGACATACTGTTTCTTACAATTTGATGACAACCAGTTACGTGAAGATGGTAGTAGAACATGGTATATATCAAATAACTTGCATCTCAGAAAATGGGCAACGCCCAACCTTATATTATGATACGCACGCAGGCCCACAACTCTTTATAATATGTTTATTTACAAACTATGAGTTATAATAGAATATACGTGTATATAGATAAATACTAACAGTTAAACAAAGGATGAAATACCGTCCATCTCCGGTTCCCTACCACCAGTTTCCAATCCAGAAAGAAAAATCCCAATTTGATCCACAATAAACGCAGACGACGTGATGTGTACAATCACCAGGCAGAGACTGACTCCCTTTGGTCCCCGTATGACTTCAGATAACAACAGCAGACCAGGGCACACTCTGACGGGAAAATAAGGTTGGGAACGCTTTGACACTAGGGAAATACGTAAGGTACAGAGTGACGGAACGAAACGTCTCAATTAGTATAATTAAATAAAAATTGTCACAGACCTTAAGAGAATCACTCTTATTTAGTATTCATAATAGTCTAATTTTCGCTGTATGTGGTTATTTTATTCATACAAAATACATAATAAGTTAATGATACAGTAAAATATAAGTGTGTAGAATGAACAATATTGCTAGAATAAATTCAAGGCAAGATTAAATACAGATAACCTTATAAAGATTTACCTTCAGAAATATTTAAAAATTTTAGTCAAATAAGATCTTGTACTTCCATTCTGTTTTTTTGTTACTCACATGAGGCAGGCTCTTTCTGGCGTCATGGATGAAAGTATATCTGAGTCATGTCAACAGGAGACCTATTCGTTTTGCCATACATCTATTTTGGTTATCACTAATATTCATTTCAACACTTACTGTTTTATGTGCAATATTATTATTGCTGGAGTATTTTATGACTGGTTCTATATTTTCCTTCATCTTTGTTAATTTTGAAAACCAAAAATTCATTTCAAAATGTTCTAATACTAATTAATTTAATTCCTTTATAATTACATACTTATATATTCTTGAATTAGATCAACTCAACAACTTCTTTATTTTTAGTCACTAATTAAGCCTGAAATTTGTATGCAGTAGAATTAAACATGCTAAAAACGTGTTGCATGACAAAGTTCGTAATTTTGAAACTGGTAACTAATGAGCTACACTTCTCAATTGTAACACAAAAGGAAAATGAATATGGATCATTCATGTAGTTGGTGATATTCAGGTTCTCATAGCAACAAGACTGAAGATGACTGTCTTCTAGATGTTTTACTGTGTAAAATAAATTATGTGTTAGAAAATGACAACATTTTTAGATCAGGATTACACAATTCTTGGACTTTGTCCATCATCTGTTTTCTTTAAAAACACTACGTTTCGGAAGCTATATCTGCTTCCGTCCTCAGGTTAAGAAAGGGGGAGAGGTTTTTCCTCGACCACAAGGGCGCCATGATGATGGAGGCAGTAAGCTTATCAGATTTAGCAGACAACACGGCGCAACGTCCCAATAGACAATTATCTTCATTCAATTCAATTTATTTTCTCCTTCTTTTAGTTTCAATCTGAACTTCGTCTTTCGATGTCTGCTGTTGGGGATCTGACTTCATAGTCCTCTGTGCTGAAAGCAGCATCTCTTTCTTGTGGGGTTTCTTCTGCATCAACTGGAATTTGTTTATGGCACTGGTAACAAATGTCGAGATGGAAGCAAGCCTGAAAACAGACATCAACTTTAAGTATCTACGGCAATCAAAGTTGTTTATAAAGAACAGAGATAAGTTCTTCAATAAATCACACATTTGGGGAATGCTTGCAATTTATCAGACCATAATTCTTCGTGTGCCTGTCTATATAAAAACTTAAAATATACAAAATTGTATGACTGGGGGTGAGAACTTTACCTTTTAAGTAAGATTTGAATTTTTCATGGCCTTAAGTCCGAAGATGGTTATATTATGGGTTGTTGCGCCGTATAGCCAGATAGAAGTTTACCAACGTTTCAGAAGTTCTTGCTGCCTCCATCATCAGGGCGACGATCGCTCTGATGATGGAGGCAGCAATGACCTCTGAAACGTCGGTAAACTTCTACCAGACTACACGGCGCAACAACGCAGAAGACAGCCATCTTCATATGAACTAACTACATGCCATTATTCATTGACAGCTCTTCTCTGTTGAGTTTTCTAAAAGTGGTTAACTATTAGGCAAAGTAAGAGGTTGCTTACGGCGGAAAATTTAGGGGGGGGGCAGATATCCTCACGTCGGCCCTGCATGTGTCGTTAGGTATGTAAAGTAAGGGACCCAAACTAAGGCTGGTGGAGTAGATACACACAAATCCCATCTGCTTCACTCTTAAAGTAACTAAATATTATATACACCAAGTCCCTGAAACTGAGTGACTCACGAGAGCACGTGACAGAAGATGCTCAGAAGGGTCTAAAACTCAGTCGTCATCTTCTGCTCAAAAGAGGCTGGACTCTATGAGCAGCTGTCAGTGTTACGTACACCATACAAAAATACGTGACATTTCAGTCGTCATAGTTGAGAATAATTTTTTGTACGGTCAGTTGTTTATGTGAAAAACAGAATAAGAATACATACGAAATTGAGAATGGGGAAAACTCTTTATGGTGTCATTCGAAAACAATCATTAACCAGATACGTCTGTTTTCTGTGGAAGTAGGCCGACTCCCTAAGACCACATTTGCGTCAAGAACAGTGGCTTATCTGGTATATGAAATAAAAAATATGTTAATATTAAGCAAGTATGAATCAATTTGGACTCCAATACTGGGACTGTCTTAGTCGTAGCTGATGACTGTGGTGGAGTGACAGCGATAACTAATGTTTTTCTGTATCTCTTAATGACTCTACATGATGAAAAAACAGACCAGATCCTTAACGAATGCTGATAGTATATTCCTGCAAAGCAAAGAGCCTTAAGATGATGATTACAACATATAATTTTTAATTCCTATCTGAGAAATACTTATCTCATCGCAGATTTTGCAAACGGTAATTCAATGTTATCTTCCATCCAGTATTTAACTCGATGATTTAAACATTCGAGATATCATCTACTTTAAGTGTCTTTTGCCCGTTATCAGTCACATGTTCTTTGGTATGGAGCATTTCCTAACAAAGGCTTGTACCTCATTTGACTCTCAGATCTATGGTCTGTGGAAGCATTAGACTGATCTGAGATCAAAGGTTTATGTTCTGTGAAGCAGTTGCCGAAGGGCTATTACTACTAGTGGAAGATTACACCATTAAGCACTGCACGCTCAGACTTGTTAACGAAAATCTGGTTATGAGTCTCAACAGGGGCTCGACACCAAGGCTGACCGACAGTTACAACGCGACTTGGCCTGCGTGTATACTGAAAGATGGAAATGACTGGTTACCGATAGGCGTCAGAAGAAAAATTAGGACGTAGAAGAGAATATTATTTAAATACTCAGGAATGCGATTTGTGGAGCTACAGAATTCAATGCAGGAAATAATAAAACCATCTTGTCATCTTTAAACATGGAACCCACTTTCTAATCACTGATTAGGTTTAATAGCAACCGAAATTAAATGTATGATTTTTTTACCAAAAGGGTCATAGATGAAAATTTAGAATATTCAGCAAGAGATTTCTCTCCTCTACGCAGAAGCAGAACTGGCTGCAGACACTGTGATGAAATCGACAACAGAAGAAGTCATGGCCCTCGCAAATAGGCAATTGCAAGTTCTCTTACAATACCTGTCTTCGTTGATAAATGTGCGAACGGTGTCCCTTGTGAAGCCGAAGCCAAGGAAGCTTAGCGTGCAGACAGGCGTGAAGACGCAGACGCCCACAGTGAGGGCGCCACCGAGTAGCACCAGGGACAGAGGAGCGAAGAGCCAGAGGCCGAGTTTGGCCAGCAGTTTCAGAGGCAAGATTAGCTTATGCAGGAGAGGCAACAGTAAAAATTGACGATATGGAAACACGCTGTGGGGTTCATGGCCACCGGAACCTCCTTGTCCTCCCAGTTCTCCTATCTGTTCTCCCAAATCGGTAAGGAAGTCTAGAAGAAAAATACAATATGGCAGTCAATTTATTTCTGGGCCAAACCACTTTAAGAAGAAATTAGTCCTATAATAATATAATTAATTATTTTCGTTGAGTTCGTTGTTCAGTTATTTTATGACGCGGTACAGGCAACTCTCGGTTTACGAACGTTCGATTTACGAACATTCGCTATAACGAACGTCACAATTCATTCAAAATTTCTTAAAGTCGCCAATAGATAGAGTTCCGTATAAAACGAAATGCCAAACGTATAGTGAACATAATTGTAAGATTAAAATAAATAAACTTCTAAAAAATGTATATATTACAATAATTATCAGAAAATTATTATATATTAATTAGTACGTGGTTTTAATACTAACGTACACGATACGTATCGTAAAAACCCAGGAATGCAAGATACACATAACGAAAAACGTCTTGGAACGGAACTCGTTCGTAAACCGAGAGTTGCCTGTATTAGTTATTGACATTGTGTAACCTTTGTTATTTATATCTACCTATCTTTCTGTTTATGTTATGCAGTGGGTTCCGGTTAATTGGGACACATCGGGACTAGAACACTTTGACCCAATTAAGCGGCTGCCCCAATGATGCGAAGTTCCACGTAAAGAGTTAAAAAGATTTGTCCCAAATAAACCGCTGTCCAGATTAACCGATGGCCCAATTAATCGGAATCTACCATATTGAAATACAAAACAGTTATCTGAAATTTCTCCAATTTCGACACTGCAAAGTCAAATCGACATTGAGATTTTTTCTGATTCGATCTAGAATATTCGAGCGTCGCACATGTCTCTTGGCAAATTAACTTCTGTGACTTACTCAAGAAACCGCCTTCTTCTTCAGAACCAGTTGTGTCCGCTAGTGGGGCAGGAATCAGGTATCCCTCGTATCCGGTCTGTACACCATAGCTCGGTGATTCCCTGTATGGGGCGGTGTATTGGTGCACGTATTTTCCGGCGGGAGAAGTCGTTATTGAGTTGGATACCATACCTGAGGCGGGATACGAGACAGGGACTTCGCCCAAAACGATTTCTAATATCGAGACAAGAAGTGCTGTCCACAATACGAATAGTGCCATGCTGAAATAGTACATCAGACACTGATTGAGCCATTATATTTAACTAATTAACTTACTTACGATCTAATTGACTAAATAACTAACTTGCCTTTTATTGAACCTGAAGATTTGTTTTTGTATCCACGTAAGCATATCACTGATACGTATTTTGTCAAAGATTTGATCACACTCGCAAATTATTTATTTAGACTTAAGATCAATTTTAATTTCAATAGGCCTATTCTGTTTGGTGTAGGCCAAATTATCTCACTTCAAATAATAACGGATGAATTTTTTAAGTTTTGTGAAGATCACACTGTATAAATTTAATTTTTACCTTAATGTTAGTACTCCTGATGTTGAAAACCACAGAGTAGATCACTTCAGGGTTTCTGTCCAGACAGAGGATGCGCAGTTATAACACCAGTCAATGCTTCTACCTCTGTATATAACATTTGAGTAAACGGTACATTAACGGGGTTGCTGGCAAGAATAACAGAAGCCGCCCCAGATTCTCCCCATCTGAACTAGTCGACCAATACAAACATCCTGTTAATATTGTTAAAAATTCCTATACGAAGTAAGTCATAACTAGAACAAATGATTGTTTAAAGACTGGGAAAACGGAACAAAAGAGAGAATTTTTTCGCATGTTCTGGAATCTCAGCTGACATTTTAACTGACAAGAGGATTAAGAGGATATGAATTCGTGACGAAAGGTCCTTCGGAAGCAGGACTTGAGATTTTACGGCGTTGGAGGTTTTCTGGATTGTGCCATCTTGCTGTATGCCAGCATTTTAGAGGATTATAGTCCTAGATGGTCTTACATCGCCTTTAAAATCTGTATAGAGGGTTTTAAATAGTCAAAATCTGTACACGGCATATAACCCCAGCAAGACCACCATCAGTTAAAATATTGCCATGAAAACTTTAAAACCTACTACTGTAGGAGACCGCGTTCTCCAACTGCAACTTTCTTTACAGTACTATCACGTGGGATAATAAAATAGAAGGATTTAAGTCAATCTACAACATCCAAAATTACCAAATAAATAAAAACAATTATGATTTCCAATTAAGACAAAAGTAATATAATCGGGTTCGCAGAAAAAGGAAGCGGAATTGGCTTAAATCAATGTATTTTATGGTGGTGACTATTCCGGATAGAACACTGTTTCAAATATGTAACCTGGTAAGCTTCATTTTTCAAAAGTAAACCAACCAGTTGGACTTAATTTGTTTTAAAACACTTATCTCGTCTTTCATTATGGTATTTAAAATAAAGGTTAAATTAAATCTGTACGTTTGCATCTAGAAGTGATAAGATAAACCGATGACAGGTTTTCAGTAAAGGAGAGTGTGACTTAGATGTTCTTTCTGCAAGCTCTAAAACTAATAACTTAATTTATCAGTTTCTTATTGCAGATACTTCGAATATCTCAAAACGACCTTGCCGACATAATGTTCTAGGACCTCATTCTGACCTAGAATATTTACGTACACGCCCCATTGCCTACTAAGTTACTGTTGTCTCTTTTGTGTCTGATTTTATCAGTGTTACAGAAATATGCGTCGAGGTGACCTCTATTTCATTTTCAGCACACGCGTCACCGCCCAACAGGAAGTAATCCACAATTTTACACATTAACAAATCAAAATGATACTCATGAGGAAGTTAGGAGGAGATTAAATTCTGGAAATGCTTGCTACTTCTCAGTTCAAAATATTTTGTCTTCCCATCTGATTTGTAGGAACCTGAAAATTAAAGTATACAAAACAATAATCTTGCCTGTTGTTTTGTATGGGTGCGAAACATGGTCTCTCACTCAGAGGGAGGAACACACATTGCAGGTGTCTGAGAATAGGGTGTTGAGGAGAATTTGGACTAGGAGAGAAGACGATAGGGCGTGGAGAAAACTGCATAATGATGAGCTTAAAATTGTGTAATCCTCCCCTAATATTGTCAGGGTGATTAAGTCGAGAATAATGAGATGGGCGGGTCATATAGCGCGCATGAATGGGACAAGACGTGTGCACCGGGTATTGGTTGGGAAGCCTGAGGGGGAGAGACCGCTGGGGAGACCTAGACGTAGATGGGAGGATAATCTCAGGCAGGATCTATGGGAGATAGGAGTTGAAGGGGACTGGATTTTGCTCGCCCAGGACAGGGTCCGATGGAGGGCTTTGGTTAATTCGGTGATGAGCCTTCGTGTTCCGTAAGCTATCTAGTTAGTTAGTTAGTAAATTTATCCTAATTATCTCCAAGTTTAGAAATATAGGATCAATCATAGGCTTGTTCACGAAATATACTTTTGATACTTGATACTTGGACGACCCGTTCTTCAAGTTCCTGAGCACTGCGATTCCCAACTTTTTCGTTGGCTTGACCTATAGACATTCGGTAGGACTCCTTGGACAAGGGATCGGCCCGTCGCAAGGCCTCTACCTGTACACAGGACAGTACAACACAATAAGACGCTGACAAACATCCATGCCTTGAGTGGGATTCGAACCCACGGTCCCAGTGACCAAACGACACAAGGCCCTCATCTCAGATCACGAAATATCTGACGTTTAATATGAAAAATATTTTTGAAGGAATTGCGTTACCAGAATGTATAGAGGAATTTCAAAAAAAAAAATATATATATATATATATGCATGGATATTCTACTAAGTCTTTAATCTTATCAGACTATGCCGTTATTCTGCTTGTCATCCAATTGCAGTCATTTCACATAAACTTTATCAGTTGGTCTCACATCTTACACCACCATATCGTATTTTGAAGATGGCTGTATTCTGGATTGTTGCGCCGTGTATTCTGGTAGTAGTTTAATAAACTTCTTCTATGGCTCTCCGGTCCGTATTCGGTCCGTGGCCTCCTCAATTCTCCTCTTCCATTCTGTCCTCTGTTAGGTCCGTCTGTCCGAGGCTTTGATCGAGGTTTCGAAACATCTTCCTTTTTATAGTGCAACTCCCAACCTGGAGGATCAGGGTACCTGTCTTAATCTGACCTCTCCCTCTCGACCAATCTGGCTGGGGAGGCCCTACCAGTAGCTCTTTGGGTCACTGAGGTACTCAAGCCCCACCACCACGACAAGGTGCAGGTACCTTTAAATTAAAATAAATCTAATGTAATAAACTACTTATTTTAAATTATTTTAAACGAAAATAAATTACTGACATAAGAATCTGGTGTTTCAGTTGAGAATCTTTACAATTATGTGGTGTGCAAAGAAGAATTATGATGTGGTGTTTGGTTTATATACCTGAAACATGTAGTCATTCGAAGTGATAGTGAGATAGTATAATTGAACATGGAAACCCTGTTGTGTAAAGACAGACAAAAATATTTTATAGTTGTATCTTATTTCACTTGGACAGGAGTGGCTATGGTGCAGAAAATTAGGTAAATGCCACCACCTCGTCGTGCAAAGAAGTGAAAGAGGTTTTGTCTCCTGTGGCGTTATTTAAACTTTACGGGAGTTACTGACGTTTCGGAGATAAAATACGTCATAATCAGGATGACCACCTTCCACACACGATGGCATTGTGTAACGATAGTTTGTAAAATTTATACATTTCTATGTGCAAATAAATTATTGGATATGGCGATAATTCATTTATTTATTATGATACATTGTATAATCACATTGTGGTGATACATTAATTGGTAATTAAATACAATATAAGTGGTCTAAAATGTCGGGTAGCCACAATTTTAAAGTATGGAAACAAGAAGTGTGTATACTTGGTAATGGTTAGAGATGTGAGTTGGGATATGTAGGTTTTGAGGTTTTCACAGAGGTCAGTCTGAAGATTTCTGTCTTCTGGGTTATTACGCTGTGTAGTCTGGTAAATTTCCACCAAAGTTTCAGAGGTCATACTGCCTCCTTCATCAGGGCGATTATCGCCCTGATGAAGGAGGCAGTATGACCTCTGAAACGTTGGTTAACATCAACTAGACTACATAGCGCAACAACCCAGAAGACAGAAATCTTCAGAGTTGGAATAGTAGGAATTTCTTATTAAGGTTCAGCGGGATTGGGGTTAGGAAGTGGTTGACTGTCTCTCACGATGTGCAGAATTACATATAACGGATTTTACAATTTTTTTCTCGGAAATCTTTTGGTCGGATAGATTACTGACGGAATCCCAAAAACAAAACCCCACAGATTTTAAGTGACACATAACAAGAATTTTTACTGCATACGAAACCTAATACAATGGTAATTAAGTTCTGAGATAATATTTCTTAAACATGTGTTCCCGATTTTTGGTAATGTCAGTAAGAGTCTGGGTAGGTTCCAGAGCAGGTCTGGATATTATGGCGAATAGAAAGATCCCAGCCTTTCCTATCGTCCAGCCTGTAATCTAGTTATTTTTCTAAGTAATTTATCCCAGTTCTTTAATAATAATGAGAACAAATGTAAATCGACAGAGAGTATTTTTTGAAGACAGAAAGGGACACTTTTTATTGTAACAGGCATATTTATAATTTGAATTACTGGGGCGTTGCAATTACATGACCACATTTTCGACAGAATCTTGCAGACCCGATGCGCTGTTGAGACACACTTAATATTGAAGCTTTATGACTACTGAATTCATTCCTAGTGTTGACATCGTTTTCAGTGGCATCCCTCTGTTCGTCCACAGAAAGTGATCGAACCCGTGGTATTGGAGTCGATTCGGGCGTCGCTTCGCTTTCAGACTGCATATCTGAAACGTGAATATTAATTTACGTTTCGAGTCTGACACTCTAATTTTTCTATTGCTGCGAAGAACTAACAAAATTTTGGGAAGTAAACCCCTCGAGTCGGGGGAACAGGAAGAATGGGACAGAGCCCCCAACACCGAGGCCATTTTGGGGCAGAGCGCCAAGAAACGGGACACGTCTCATAAGGCTGGAGCCTGAACAATCTAGAAGTATTTAAATTTGGATTTCAGTTGAAACTTGCCACAACATTTTACAATTTTCACAAGCTATCAAAAAATAAACGATTATGATGTCACATATCTCAGAAATGTTAACAGTTACGTGTATAATACTGGGTACACGTTAACACCTAAAGGAGAACTCTGAAGAGTATTAGCACTGAAGACACAGCTTCAGGCAGTTCTCAGATAATTGAGTGAAACAAGATGCAATTTCTTGATAATGCAAGAAATGGGCATTTTCTGACCTGAATCGGCCCCGTCAACGGAGTCCTCCTCCATCAGCGGTAGCGCGGAGGTGGGCTCGGACCTGGGTCTCACCCCACCGTGCGATATGATGCCCTGTACGAGGTCCATTCGCGAGTCCAGCGAGAACTGCTTTCCCGTCATCAGAATGCCTTTGATCCTGCGTCGCATTGCTGAAATTGCGTAATGTTCTCTTATTTTTCTAATGCCTTAACCATTTAAAGCACGATGATAACTATATGTACCACCTACTTCAATATTCAACAATTCTGCATTTTTCTTTGATAAGGTCTTCGTATGATTCTGAGAATAAACAAAGATTGTTTTCCTAAACGGCATTTACAACTTTATATTTTTAATGCAGAAGCTATGAGTTTTATTTGAAGAAGGAAATAAGCTTTTAAAAATTATTTAGTAGATGAACTTCAAAGTTTCGATTTGTGTTTGGTACAAAAGTACCGTTTTCCTGTCATACACGTGATATGACGAGTGAATGGAAGTAGGGTTAGGCAGGGCTGTTTGGCTCTTTCAGGTTTAAATATAAACACAAATACGTTTGTTCATTTGACGTTGTTCTTGTTGCCGAAACTACATCTTGAATATCATGTACAAAATAAAAAAAATTAAAACAATTTTTTATACTGAATGTAGAATTTAATATAGCTGTTTTAAGATACATGGCATCTTGTAGTCTGGTAGATATTTATGGACGTTTCAGAGGAACTTACAGCTTAAATCGTTAGGTTGATATGACCAGACTGCATTCCATAAGATATCTATCTTCATACTTATTACAACAATAATATGAAATCTGACCTGAATATTTAAACTCAACATTATGACATATAAAACCTAGTAACTACATCAGATTAGTATTTATCTTTTCGCCTCTAAGATATTTTACGTTACCTGGACTGTCCTTAGCTTCTAGGCGAAATCGAGTAAACATTCGAGAAAACTCTTCCAGGACGTTGTCTCCGTTGTCAAAGATGGCGGCAAAACTTCCGTTAACAATTTTTGGTGACATTGGTGAATTGGCTAGCAGAAGACTCGATCCGAAGCTGGCATTCAGCTCTCGAGTTTCTGCATGAAATAAACTGCGTATCAACTTCTCAGGCGTGTGACTCAAGACAAGTTTTCATTTACTGTCAAAAGTATCAATACGCCTACAATAAAACTATTGTTTGTTTTACAACCAAAAGGTACTGTGTTTTACATATGCGATCAATCTTAAAAAAGTAACAGAAGCTATCAAGATATTTCTGTTCTACACGTCGTATCCTGGCATTGCATGACTTAATTATCTGCATTTTTGGAAAGCTCATTAAGTAAAGTAGCCAAACACAACCAGTTTATAGGGCGCTGTGAAACACCAGTTAACAAAAGATATTATCATTGTATAGATCTAAAATGAACTATACATGTTAATCCATGATAATCATTAATTAAATTAATTAAATCCATGGCGTAACAGCCCTCTGAGAGCCAAAGCCGACTAGCTTGACTGCTGGCCTCACGTGCACATGCCTAAGCAGAGGTGAACGATCATCCAACCAGATATAGGGCGACGTGTGGTCAGCACGACGAACCCCCAGCCATTGCTAGCTTTCCTGACGGGATTACGCTACTTATCGTAGCTCCCCAATTTCCTCACGATGCTGGGTTGGCACCGGTCCCATACACTGGTCGAAAATCTCATGAGAGGATTTCTTCTCCCCCGAGACTCGAACCAGCGCGCATTCCGTATCGCCGGTCCGAAGCATGATGCCTCAGACCGCGCGGCTACGGCGCGGGACCCATGATAATCATAACTAACTAACTAACTAGATGGCTTACCGAACCCGAAGGTTCATCACCGAATTAACCAAAGCCCTCCACCGGACCCTGTCCTGGGCCAACAAAATCCAGTTTCCTTCAACTCCTATCTCCCATAGATCCCGCCTGAGATTATCCTCCCATCTACGTCTAGGTCTCCCCAGCGGTCTCTTCCCTTCAGGTTTCCCAACCAGTACCCAGTGCACACCTCTTGTCCCATCCATGCGCGCTACATGCCCAGACCATCTCACTCTTCTCGACTTAATCACCCTCACAAGACTGGGGGAGCAGTACAGATTTTTAAGCCCGTCATTGTGCAGTTTTCTCCACGCCCCATCGTCTTCCCTCTTAGGCCCAAATATCCTCCTCAACACCCGATTCTCAAACACCTGCAATCTGTGTTCCTCCCTCTGAGTGAGAGACCATGTTTCGCACCCATACAAAACAACAGGCAAGATTATTGTTTTGTATACTTTAATTTTCAGGTTCTTAGAAATCAGACGGGAAGACAAAATATTTTGAACTGAGAAGTAGCAAGCATTTCC